GCTTGTGCTAGTGGGCGGCATCCCCGGCTCGTCGGGACACTTTGTACGAGTCGGCGAAGCTGCAGTCCCGGGGCCCAACCTTCTCCGGATTACCACCTCCAATCCATCGGGCCTTCGTGGGAAGGAAGCTCACTTGGTCGAGCTGGGAGTGGGCATTCACTGCATCTCCGAGTCTCAGCTGTCCAAGGTCACACTCCCTCGCTGTGCTACTACTTTGAAAGCTCAAGCCTCTTCCGTGCAACGCCAACTACGAGTGCTTGCTGGCCCTCCTGTGGCTTGCCGTCCTGGCTCGCAATGGGCTGGCACCTGGTCTGGGGTCCTGACGGTCTCGGATCTGCCTTGTCATGAACTTCGTCTACCTTGGCGCTCGGGTGAGTTTGAATCTGGGCGTATCCAGGCCTCGGTGCACTATTATGGACAAGTCCGTCTACAGCTGCTGAACTGCTACGGCTTCTGCCGCGGCCCCACATGGCCCCATGCCAGATCTCTTACCGAAGGCCTCCTTCAGACGACCTCTCTGCATTTCGTCCTGGGCAACTACGGACCGAGGATAATCTGTGGAGACTTCAATTTCTCTGATGGCGAGCTCGATGCCTTCGCGGTGTGGAAACACCATGGATGGGTCTCGGCACAATCCTTTGCCGCCTTCCACTGGGGTCATCAGATACGGCCCACCTGCAAGGGCACCACCGAGCGGGACTTCCTCTGGTTGAGCCCTGAAGCTCAAAGTCTATGTTGTCGTGTTCAGGTCCTTGAGGTCTTCCTGGAACATAGCACTGTGGCTGCTGATCTCTCTCTGGAAGTCTCTCTGGCTCAGACCTTTCGCTGGCCTCTTCCGGCCCAGCTTCCTTGGGATGATATTGACATTGCCTCTTGGGCCGGAGGGGTTTCTGCCCCGGCCAGCGGTGGCACCACTACGGAGCTTTACACTGGTATTGGGACCACTCTGGAGATTAGCCTCTCGGGCTTTGTGCGTACTCAACCTGGTGGGCAACTTCTTTCCACTCAACTTGGACGGTGTCAGCGTACAGCTCCTGATCGGCACCGAGAACTACCTCGTTTCTGTAAGGCCAGTCGTGCCGGAGAAGTGGAACTACGTTGCGATGTCACGTCACGGGCCGTCCGGGATTGGTTCAAGCAACTGAGACGGCTACAGAGCCTTCGTCACTCTCTTCTTGCCAGTTCCTGGCATTGGGATGCTCAGGTTTATCGCTGCGAATTATGGAGTGCCATCCTTCACGCACGCGGCTTTGAGAGTGGATTTCGCTCCTTCTGGGCCAGGGGCCATGCTGACGGCAGTCCCCACGTTCCCACACTTCTACCTGATGGTCTCCCTACATCGGCTCAGATAGAACTGATTTTCAGCACTTTTCGCTACCGCTTTGAATTGCTGGAATCTTGGCACATTCAGCAACGCTGTCGTCTTCTTCGCCGCAAGCATGACGCCACTATGGCCGGCCTGTATGGTGAACTCAAGCGGGCTCCGAAGGCCAAACCTGACCTTCTCTGGTCCGATCACTACTACACCATTTTGGGCTTTGAACAGGAAACCGGTTCTTTGCATCTTGATCGTCCACTGGATCTTGCGGGGCAGTCAACCTGGTCGTTGAATGGTGTGTCTCTCTCCGTCTTGGAGGCGGAGCTTGATACCTGTGTGGTCAGTCGGCTTCCTCCACTTATCCCTGGGGATGAGCTTCATCAACATCAAGTGATTTCTGAACTGACGGAGGTTCAGGAGGCCTTTGTGCGTTTTTGGCAGCCTCGTTGGAATGCCTACAAGGACGTGGCCGACTCTGACTGGGTGCGTATTACTTCTTTCGCTCGGGCCTACATGCGGCCCCTTTCGTTCACTCTGCCTCCGTTGGAGCATGACCATTGGCACAGCACCTTGAAGCGGTACAAACCGAATGCTGCCCGAGGAGTGGATGGTCTTTCTCATCGTGATCTCATTCATTTGCCCCCTGCGCTGGAATCCCAGATTTTTGCCCTCTTGGAGCGAGTGGAACGGGGTGACGACTGGCCCCAACAAACTCTCTTTGGGGTAGTCCAGGCCTTGGCAAAAGTTGATGGCGCCCACATGGTGGCTTCCTTCCGCCCTGTAGTGGTCCTCAGCATCCTCTACCGGACGTGGAGCTCTTTGCGGAGCCGGCAGCTCTTGACTCAGTTGATCTCCTGCCTTCCGGAAGGTCAGGTGGGCTTCATTCCTGGGCAGGAAGCTATGAATATCTGGGCACTTTGGATGGCTATGGTAGATCTCTGCTGCCAGGGAGACACGACCTTGTGTGGACTGAGCGCCGACTTGGTGCGGGCCTTCAACTGCATCCCTCGTGGACCTCTATTTTGGCTGGCCTCCTTCCTGGGATTACCTAGCACGGTGCTTACACCCTGGCGCAACTACATGAGGGACTTCAGCCGCTCCTTTATGATTCGAGGCTCACTTAGCACCTCTTCTCGCAGCACGGTCGGCCTGCCGGAGGGCTGTGCCCTTTCCGTTCTGGGCATGTGCCTATTGGACATGATGTGGCATCATTATGCGGCAGCATTTTGCCCTGGCATTCGGATCTTCTCCTACGTGGACAATTTGGGCCTTACGGCTCGTGATGCCGGTCACTTGGCTCTTGGGTATGCCACTATGCTGGCCTTCTTCACGTTGTGGCACATGGAGATTGACCTTGAGAAGTCCTACTGCTGGGGCGTTGACGCGGTGGCCCGTCGTGCCTTGAAGGCCTTTCCGATGCGGTGTGTGCAGCATAGCAATGAGCTTGGGGGCTCCATGACTTTTCACACTCAACCTCGTGTGGTCGATCTTAAGGCTCGTATGGCTCGGCTCGAGCCTCGCTGGCCTATCTTGGCCCGCTCCGCGGCCTCATTGTATCAGAAGCTCGTTGCGCTGACTGTGTCTTTCTGGCCCGAGGGCTTGCATGGTTCGCTGGCCTGCCGATTTGCCCTACGGCACCTGGATAGGCTTCGCAGACGGGCTGCGGCTGCACTTGGCTGGAAGTTGGCCGGCTCTTCGCCGTCCATGCGCTTCTTACTATGTCCCCTACCATTTGCGGATCCGTTGCTTTGGCATCACAAAACTGTTCTCCAAGGTTTTCGGCGACTTTGTCAAGCCTCCGCTGACTTTGTGGCACAATGGCGCCTCTTCCTGCAGAACTATGATGGATCACTGCATGTGGGTCCCTATTCCAAGATGCTAGATTTGTTTTCCCATTTGGGTTGGCACTGGGTGAATGAGCATTGGTTTCGGGACCATCGAGGACACCTATGGCACTTTGTGCAGGCGGCATGGCCTCTGCTCGAGGAGCTGCTTTGGGATGCATGGGCTTGCTTGGTGGCACAGCAGTTTCGCCTTCGCAAAACGGCCACCGACTTGGACGGGCTGGACCCTTGGTTGCACCAGGCATTTGCTGCCTCTCTGGGGGCACGGGACAAAGCGCAACTTTCTGCCATCCAATGCGGTTGCTTCATTGATGCCGCTCAGCATGGGCGTTATGATGTCAGCAAGGAGCGTTACTGCACTCAATGTGGGGTCCTTGACACGGTTGAGCATTGGTTTGTTTGCCCCCTGTTTTCTAGTTTACGGCATCGGTTCAGCGTTTTCCCTGAAGACATTTGCACTTGGCCCTCATGTTTCCGTAATCATTTGTTGATTTCACGGAGCTGTTTGGTGGACGAACTGGAGCACTATTTCATGCAACTTAGTGCCCAAGTGGACGACTTTACGGCTTGGCCCTCGGCTGGCACACACCATGTTTTTACCGACGGCACCGCCTCCAAGTACAAGTCCTCACGGCTCGTGCATGCAGCTTGGGCGGTGGTGGATTCTACTTCGGGCATGGTGGTGGCGGGTGGCCCGCTGGCTGGCAAGCAACAGTGCATCGGGAGGGCGGAGCTCACCGCCCTCCTCAGTGCCACGGCGTGGGGCACCTATGGTCCGGTGGACGCCATGCATATATGGTGTGACTCTCAGCATGTGGTGGCCGGCGCATGCTTCCTTTTGACCCACGGTCGGGTGCCTGCCTCTTGGACTCACCAAGACCTTTGGGCTCAATTGCTGCTGGTACAGGAACACTACTCTGATGGCACCCTCTACTACCATTGGGTGCCGTCGCACTTGAACGAGGCCCTTTGCTGCACTCCTTTTGAGAGTTGGGTTGCGCGCTGGAACTCTGTCGCTGATAAGAATGCGGGTTTCTTCGACAGTGACCGAGGAGAAGGCGCACATGATTTGTTTGCTAGGGTCCGTGCTCACGACCACCATTGGTGGGCGCGCCTCGACAAGACCTTTCAGTTTTTGGTGGCGGTTGGAGAGCATCGTCAACAGACTGCAGAGGTAGCTGAGTGGGTTCTTTCCAGTGAGCCGGAGCGAGAGCATGGTGATTCGCTATGTTCTCTCCTCCGTGAGCAGGGTGTTCGAACGTTTGAAGGACATAGTCTTGAACCTTTTTTGCATAAAGTACAGAGTTGGCTTCTTTTTCACTGTACCCCTGACAGTCAACCTCAGCTTTATAGCTTTTTAGAAATGGTTTTCATGATGGCGTTTCTTGAGCCCATGAAGTTTCCATGTTTTGCCGGAGCAGGCGGGTGTCGTCTTGATGTTGTACAGGCCTTTTTCACGAGGCCCACCATTTCGCAGCTCTTGGCTCCTTTGCGGAGCGCGATCTCCGAGCTTTGTAATGGTTTTGATGTTGATATTCAGCCTCTGGACGGTCGGAGGATGGTTGGTTTGGGTGTTTTTGTTCCTTGTTTTGGCCTGGTGCTTTGTTTGCCCAGCTCTCTCAGAGATCGGTGTGCCTCCGCTCTACGGTCTTGGACCCGTTCCCGACCTGTTCGTCGATCGGCCGATTTGGCTCGACCATTTCTAGGATGAGGACCGCAGGACTCGCCACGCAGCGTGCCGCTCCGCTTTTGCCGAGCGCACGCGTCCGCTCGTCAGAGATAAACATGCTGAAAGAAGGCTGAGGCAAAGCCTGACAAAGCATGCCGTTACAAGCGACATTCGGAGGACTGTCTTCACCTCCAGCTTCCTCCCAGTCCCAAGAAGGTCTGCCTGAAAGCATTCGCCTAAGGTGTGCGCACGCACACGCAGGCAAAGCAAGCAGCAATGCCATGCCACAATGCCAAACAATAGTCAAACAAACTGCTTGATTGTCTTACTCAAGCTCGGAGGCATGTTGATCAAATATGTAGCTTGTGAAGGAAGCACACCAGGCGGTGCCTCCCATTCAGGAGTTCCGATAATTCTGAGGAGCTGAGGGCAGCTTGCTGCGCAGAAGTGACACAAATTGGTGCAGAAACCATCGAGAACCCCAGAGAACAATTGTTGTACAGAGTTGATGTGCCACTTGCGTGGCTAGGACTAAGAGCTGCCGGATTTACACCAACAAATCCTGAACACTTCCCGAGGCAGAAAAAGCAAAAGCTTCTTCCGCAAGAGGTGCCCTACCACATAGAAGTCTTGACGGCCCTCAACTTGGGCAGCCGCTTTTTGGAAAGCAGAGGGGTCGAACACACGCAACGCATGTAAGAGGACATGCCCACTCACTGGGCAAGTAGCCAGATCTTGAGAGTGCAAAGACCTGTAAGACAGCTTGGTGAAAAAGGACGTTTGGCCCAAATGACGTGGATGACATGCCCACCTCTCTATTGAGGGAAACGCGCTGTGATGGTTGATAGGTCCTTAGGCAAAACAGGTCATCAGAGTAGGCAAAACAACATCGTCAGATTGGACAAGCCACAAGCTTCCCATTGACTGGAACTTCATCCTAGGATCTCTCCGCAGTCTTTCCAAAAGCAGGTGCGCGGATAGAATTTCAGTGGGTCTCTCCAGCTGTACCCTGTCAAGGACAGCACTCTGCAAAGTGTTTGTTTTTTTCATGTTTTCATGTTTGCTTTAGTTAAATTAGGCGGGGGGGAGGGAGAGCAGCAGTGGGTAAACTACACCCAAACTTTATTTAATGACTTGGTTCCTAGTTTTTCTTTGTACACTTAAATTCGCAATTTTTTAAGGTTCAGCTACACCTTTCACCCAGCACCGCCAAAGCGGAATTGGCCTGCACCAATTGGATTGAAGGATGTGTTGACTATCGTTGTCTAAGCCTCCTAAGCCTACTAGGAAGTGTTCAGTTGAACTGTTGAACTATGTGTCTTGTGGGTTTTACCTCCCGCGGCGCCAAGTTCCGGCATTGTTTCGGCCTAATGAACGATATGGTACTGAACGTCTGGAGCGCTGTTTCCCGCACACTAGCCGTAAACACTGGCTCCGCAAACGGTAATGATCAACAGTGATGATTGCCGCCTTCTGACCAATCTGATGACACCTGCTCCATGAACAAACCTTGGCACAAGCATCAATCAAGCGTTCCGTCGTTTCACAATGGCGGAAAAATGTCACTGTTCAGGCGGGAGACTGTCCCAGAGCAAACATACCAAGAATACCGACCTCAGAACACCAGTCAAGTGCGGTCCCGGGAGAAAATTGTTAATTTTTTCTCTCACATGTCCTCATGACATGCCGCCCACCACTTTGTCCAGCCACACATCGGATGAAAATGACTGAACATGTGGTCGCTTGACTTGAAGTTCCAAAGATTATACTAACATAGACCCTGAACAGTTTCAGCATTGTTCGGCAAACAGTTTACTGCTCGGGTTCTTTCTTGGAAAAAACACTGGCCACAGTGGCCGCGCCCCTGAACCTTGGCGCTTAATCAATTCAATAGCATGATCCACCTGACACTGACTGGCGCTTAGTCAAGAAATCAATAGTGTTGCCTCTGCTGTCTCTGGCTGCGCCGGCGGGCCCTGTGTCTGTCTCTGCTCCTCCTGGTGTCCTCCTCTTGTCCTCTGTCCTTCTCTTGCCCTCCCGGTGTCCACCTGCTGTCCTCGTGCCACGGCTGCTTCAAACCCTGCGTCTTCCTTCCTCTTGTCCTTTGTGCGGGTCTGCCTGTCCTGCTTGTCCCGTCGTCGGGCCTTTTGTCACCGCTTTTTCTTTCTCCACCGCCTTGTCCGGGTGTGCTTGCGCGCTATGAATGCAACAGTGACGCAGCGTTTGGAATGTGATATCACCCGCGGTTTTTCTCATGATATACATCCGATATCCCATCGGTTTTGCCGAGGATTACATCAAATTTGAAAAGGCTGCACCGCTGCGTTCATAGCCACACGAAAACACACCCGGACAAGGCAATGGAGAAGGGGGAAAGCAACGTGGCCAAGCAGGGGGCAGGGCCTGGACATGGCGGTGGTAAAAGGGCCGACAACAGCAGGAGGACACCAGCTGGAAACAGTGCTCGCCAGTGTGAAGGGCATAGGTTTTGCCAGCGGAGGACACCACAAAACAACCCGGCACGGGGTTCAGGGACGTGGCCACTGTCGTTTCCTGCGGCACTGGTCTACTTTGCCTGGACGATGGTAAATACATGGTCATGGTTAGCGTCATCCGGATATATCCGGATGTGAGATGGTGGGTCTTGAAGTTGGCTGGTACTGGCTGACACCGCCGCCGTTCACAAATATATAGCAATGAAGCACTGAAAATTTGCCACAACTTACACCCCGCAGAACCAAACAACAATGGTGGACGAAAGAAATGTTTACCCAGGCGGCGTCCAGCGTCCTTGAACGATCAGCGTGACAGGCAAAGAAACTCACAGCAATTTGAACGTCGATAATAAAAAGTAACGCTTGTAGTCAAACACATCACAGTGAGTCATTGGTTGTGACTTCGGACGACTCTGGTTGGCATGAAGTATACGTCTCGAGGCTCTGTGCGCGTGCGGCACACCAACCATCGCACACACAAGTGCACGGCAGAGATCTGGATGGGTCACAATCATTGAATATGATTCATATGGCAAGTAATGTGTATGTGTAAAAATCGTACAACTATATATTATTCATATGTAGGGTCAAAACATGACATATCATGCAGCGGCAAATGGCGTGCATCGTGCGAAAACTGCATGACAGCACACAAACAGCAAACAGCCTGTTCACGGGCGCATACAAACACAGGTCTCATGTGGACAGCATGCAGTTCAATGCGCGTGCACCTGCCACAGTAAGGATCCAAATTGCTTTACTTTGAGTCATCCCGCCATGAAATCGTTGCCATGGTGGGTGGCTTTGTGGTTGACGATTTTGTTTGTGGGTCTGTCGGGATTGGCGTTGTTGCTTTGATGTTTTGGAGTTCGCGTGGGGAGCCGCCAGGGTCTACAGCTGCCATTCTGTCCAAAGTGCGGCCTTGCGACCAACTGCCACGCAAAATGCCACACACGCGTAAGATATGTGTACGGAACTGAAAGCGGTGCCACACGCCGGCCTAGGTTGCCATTTCCTAAGAGTACAGGTAAGGAAACCTGAAAAGGAAGTGGAGGTCCAACAAGTTCAGCGAGGCCATAAAACCAAAGCTCTAAGTAACACCATGTCTTGAGGTTCTAGGCTTAGCCTCGTGCCATTCCGTTTGAAAATGGCAGGTACGTAGTTCTGGCGTCCCAGAACTATATCACTGTGCGACAGATGCGTCTTCGTTGGCTGGAGACATCTGAAGCACACTCCAGCCCCCTGCTGAAAAACTCAAAAACTCCAAAAGCGAGAACAATCCGAAAGGATCCCTGTGATTCCAAGGGGTACACACACACGCCTCCCCAAAGGGAAGCAAAAATTAAGGCTAGGACGAAAGTGCAAATGTGCGCGCCACAAGGACAAAAGGGTGAAGACATGAGAAGGAGGACGAGACGGAGACAAAGTGTGTATGGTTGCGATGAAAGAGAAACCAAGTGCACAGGGACAACCGATGAAACCCACCTCATTGTCGAGACCTGGGCGACCTAAAACCTGAGTGTGCAAGTAGATGTGCGCGTACAGACCAAGGCCCAGACCGTTGTGCGCGCAAAAGAAAGAAAGGAGTGAGATGAAAGGACATGAAGCAAGGGAAGACATGAAAAGAAAGAGGAGAAAGAGGTGTGTGAAGGGGAAAGAATGAAAAGGGGAACCAAATGGAGGGGACGGAAACCAATGAAGCCGAACCTCATTAAAGAACCTATGCAAACCTGGTTGAAAATGTAAATGCTGTGTGTGCATCTGAGGTGGCGACGGGTCCCAACGGACCCTAGATTGCTTCGGCCGCTGCGGCCACGTACGCCGTGCCAAAATGGCTGGCTGCTTAGACCGCTGCGGTCACGTAAGGGCGTGAGCCAACTTGGAATTCCAAATTGAGACAAAAATCCCACTTCTTGAGGCATAAGCCAGCTTCGCCCGCTCTAAGCACTTACGTTTCCAAAGCAAGGGAAACAGCGACAAACCCCCCTTCGACGGGTCTACGGGAGGCACTCTGCGGGCTCATCCCGGGTTGGCACGAAGCCAAACACACGTAAGATATGTGTACGGAACTGAAAGCGGTGCCACACGCCGGCCTAGGTTACCATTTCCTAAGAGTACAAGTAAGGAAACCTGAAAAGGAAGTGGAGGTCCAACAAGTTCAGCGAGGCCATAAAACCAAAGCTCTAAGTAACACCATGTCTTGAGGTTCTAGGCTTAGCCTCGTGCCATTCCGTTTGAAAATGGCAGGTACGTAGTTCTGGCGTCCCAGAACTATATCACTGTGCGACAGATGCGTCTTCGTTGGCTGGAGACATCTGAAGCACACTCCAGCCCCCTGCTGAAAAACTCAAAAACTCCAAAAGCGAGAACAATCCGAAAGGATCCCTGTGATTCCAAGGGGTACACACTCTGACATTGGTTTTCAGTTAGCTCAATTGTCAATTCCCACGTCGAGAAGGAAGGTGAAGGAACGGAAAGGTGCATGGGTCCGCAGAAAAGTATTGTTGAACAAGTGTTAATGCACATCTGCAGTGATTCAGCGGCAGCTCACGAGCGGTGGAAACCTGTTTAGTGGGGAAGAATCGTGAAAGAACCGTGAAACAAACCGTGGAAAAGTAGGGTCACAGCTTGTGGAGAACTCAGCAGGTACACACCGAGACGTCTCTCAGTGCTTCCCCTCCAGCGACTTAGCTTCGTTGGACAAGGTTCGTCGCTGGAGGCCTTGCCCCCCTGCTTGAAGTCGTGGTGAAAAGGTGAAAGCAGTAGCCCTTCGGGACAGGGTTTGACACACACAACACGCCAATGTCGGCGCAGGTGAAGTGCGGGAGGTGGACTTTTTTCAAAAACCGTCTGCAGGCTGCAGGGTCATGTCCCTTTTGGACATAAAGGCGTATCAGCTCTTCAGCCGCCGCTGCTGCGTGTTGTTGTGGAAAGGTGTAGGTGTAGATGGCATGGAGTCTGGAAGCTAAGCCGGAGAGAGCCAAGCGCTGGCTACCGGCGCTGGTGTGGTCCCTGATTTTCCAGGGTTGTGTAGGTTGAATGTAGGTGATGGTTCGTTGTGGAAGGTCAATGTTGAAGCCCAGGAGGTGAAAGTCGTCGACCGGTTCAAGTTCGACTGGGTCACCGAAAAAGTTGTGGTGAATGAGAGTTTGGATGGCTGGGTGGGAGAGGAACTGCTCGTTGCGCACGATGAAACGGTTGTCCACATAACGGTAGTAGGTAAAGTGGAGAGCAGTGTGTTGAAGGAGGTTGTTGTGGAGTTGATGAAGTGTTGAGTGCAAAGGCGACAATGGTGGTGATGTCAGAGGTGTGAAGGGTGCGTTGCGTAGGGTGTTTAGTGTAATGTCTGCCAATGTGAGAGTGATGAAAGGGGTTGCCTGTGGCTTTCGTGTCAACGGTCAGGGTGTGTGTAGTGTTTTGGCGTTGCCAGTGTTGGATCATGGAATGGACGGCATCAATAAGCCGATGTTGCGGAACTGAGTTGAAGAAGCCAACCAGGTCGTCGTTGGTCGCGTGCAGGGCGATGTCGGCCGGTGTGTTTGTAAGGTAGCAATGGAAGTGGCGCCACAGTTGAGGGATGGAGAGTTGGCCTGGGTGTTGGGGGTAGAGGTGTTGCAATATGGTGTCGAGTGCTCGGCTGGTAATGCGCAAAAGGCTGCCGCTGAGGGATTGGAAGTACGATATGATGGTGCGTCCCTTCTGCCACTGCTTCTTTTCTTTGAGGTGGACAATGCCGTGGGGGATTGTGAAATCCTTGCAGAATCCCCATTTGTATTTGGATCGTAGGGTAGCTGGAATAATAGTGGCGGTGAGATGGTCGTGGATATTGGAAGAGTTCAAATGTGGAAGGGGTTCGAAAAGTTCAGGAGAGTGCCAAGTGTTCAGGGCGCCGGCGAAGTATTGGCGTGGGCAGAAAATGCGGAGCTGTTGGAGTTCGTGGTCCACGTGGTGGAGAACAACCTTGTCGCCAAGAAATTCTTGATGTTGTCTGATGAGGCGAGCTGTGAAGCGTGGTTGTTGTTTGAGATGGGTGGTGTGGAGTCGCCATTGGTGCTGAAGAAAAGGTTCCAAGTGTTGAACAAGGGAGGTTGGGAGGCCCTGAACTCGTAGCCATTTGGA